TCTCTCATCTTAAGAGGGAAAAAGTAAACACTTCCACACCCTAATCCTACCTGCTTCCCCCTCCCTGATTTCTCCCCCAAACATTCCCCCTTCCACACCCTAAAGCCCCCATATATAAAGTCCCAGCTCACAACCCGTGGGTGGACATCTTTCCTGGACATCTTTCCCTGACATCTTTCCCTTCCTAACACCCTTCCCCCTTCCCCCTTCCCCCTTCCCTTCCCTTCCCTTCCCTTCCCTTCCCTTCCCTTCCATCTTTCCCTCCGCCAACATCTTTCCCTTCCCGAGGGAAAGGTGCCCTGTGCGAAATAAATCTGTGTCCCGTTGAGAATTCCATCTGTGCCTCGGTGCCTTCATCCATCCGCTCGCGCCTTCCTCCATCCACCCTCTCGCTCCCGCCCTCTCTCTACCTATCCATTTCTTCTATTGATCTCTTTCATCTGATTCTGGAATTACCATAATCTATATGTTGGTCACAATAAAATCTTAGGCTCTGCCTATTCCTTCCCTTTCTTCCTCCCTCTCTGCTCACCTTGTGTTTACACTAGGGATGGAACCCATGGTCTCATGAATGCAGCCCCCATGCCTGCATGCCCAGCCCCCTTCATTTCTTTTTCCTGTTCCTCAGACTCAATAATTTCAAATACCTGTCTTTCAAGTTTACTTTGCTAATTGGTCTGCTGTTGATCCCCAGAATTGAGTTTTTAAAATGGTTATTGTAGTTTACAGCTTCAAAATTTCTGAATTTTTTTTTTTTTTTTCGAAACATGGTCTCTCTCTGTAGCCCCAGCTGACCTGGAACTCACTATGTAGACCAGGCTGGCCTCAAACTCACAGAGATCTGCTTGCCTCTGCCTCCCAAGTGCTGGGATCAAAGGAGTCCGCCACCATGCCCAGCTTCTGAATTACTTTTTTTTTTTTGTAATTTTTTTATTGCCTCTTATTTATTTTGTGTGTATGTGTGTGGGCACTCATCCCCATGCAAGTGAAGATCAGAAAACTTTTGGGAGCCAATTCTCTCCTTCTACTATATGGGTCCTGGGTACTGAACTGAGGCCTTCAGGCTTGGGTGCAAACACCTTTACCCACTGAGCCTTCTTGCCCACCCATCCTTTTTGTAATTTTTATCTTTATTGTTCTCATTTTGTTCATATATTCATAATTCTCTTTATTTCTGTATTCCTTTTGTGTTGTTGTTTGCTGTTGTTGTTTTGGGACAGGATCTTACTGTGTAGCCCTGGAACTCAGTATGTAGACCAGGCAGGTCTCAAACTCAAAGATCTACCTGCCTCTGCCTCCAAGCACTTAAGCATTTTTAAGAAAAAAAGCATTCTAGTCTTTTTCTAAGGCCAGGTATGGTAACCCACACCTTTAATCCCAGCACTCAGAGGTTGAAACAGGTGGATCTCTGATTTCAGGCTAGCCTGCATATGAGTTCCTGCCAGCCGGACACTGTAAGACCATGTCACAAAGAAGCAAGCAAACAGTCTTTGTCTAGCAAGTCAGATTGTTGTCTTCTGGGAACAGTTTCTGGCAAATCATTTCTTTTAAATGGATTGTTTTCTGGTTTCGTTGGGTAACTTTTGGTTTTTGTTGTTGAAATTTGAATGTCTGAAAGGAAAGCCAGCTCATAACCTTTCAGACTTGTTCTTTGACAGAGCAGCCCTCGCTGACTAGTTGGGCATGTTCTATGTTTGGGAATGATCATCTCGGGTCTCTC